TGTATATATATGTATATATATGTTATTAAAAAGGAGAAATTAAATCCATTTTTAGAAATAGTTGAGTAATTTAAAAGTTTTATTGATATATTTATTGTCTTACCAAACGTGGATTTTTCTACTTAAGGAAAGCATTACTTCTTTCTTTCGTTTATCACGCCGATGTGTCACTCTTACTACTAGTAAAACGAGTCTTGTTGATTAACGAAATTAATTTCCAATCCTGGTCAATTAGTATCATTACAGTCAAGTCTAAAAACAGATCATCTGTTTTTATATTTCTCTTCTATTTTTACCTTTTTATATTGAGATAAATTTTATTAATTATAATTATAATAAAAATCCTTTTATTCGGACCTTTTTTTTCTTTGATGGTGTATTTAATTAATTATTTATTTTTAATTTTACTTTTAATGTAAACATGTGTTTTATATTAATTGAAAAGAGAACTCTCTGCCAAAATTGATGATTTGATTTGATGATAGGAACTGTGAATTCATGAAAGAAATTAATTTTTAATTTATTTGACGGAACACTTTTAGACAGTTTAGAAAATGTCATTTAATTAAACTTCTTTTGCTTTTAGAATTACCAATTTATATGCGACAGTTATTTAAAAAAAAAAATACATTATCATATAAAACTGTCGATAATTTTTATTAAAAAAAAAAAAAAATTAACAACTGTAATGAAATCAATATTTAAGGAAAGGAATTATGTGAATCGATTTTATTTTACATTGTAAGAATAACATATTGTATTTATATATATATATATATATATATATATATATATATATATACTGAATTAGAAACAATGAGTTGCTGAAAGGGAAAAACTACCGTCCACATGTACACCTAACCAAGCCCACGTTCCAATAGTAACTTCTACAAATGTCAGACTCTGACCTTGTCAGTATATGATCGCGGGTGAATAAGCAGAGGCAGAAAGTATTCAAAGAGTATATATATATATATATATATATATATATATGAGCCATCCGGTCGATGCCGATCAAATGCAAAATGCCATAATGAAACTGAAAGGTGGCACAATTTTTCGATTGGCTTTATACATCTTTACCATTGTTTTTCACATCATTGATAACCTTATTCTCCATATTATAGTCTATAGGATTATATATCGCAATAACAGTAGAAAAGAAAGGTGTGCAGAAAAATTAATGTCAAACAATATCACACACAAACACAATTTTTGTATATACGCAACAAAGTATATAAAATCTTATTTTTTGCAAATACGATTTAAATTTTGGACGTTGAAAAGAAAATTCGCGTGCTTGATATTAATTTTCTCAAAATTTTAGAAATTGTCCGTTTTTTGTTTTACTTTAATCAGCTGTTATGGTTTAGCGCGACGTTTCTTATTTTCCAATCAGTGATACAAACATAATTCTGAAAAGTGAGGTTATGTTTACCATATTTAGTTTACACATCATATTGGTATCATTGATTGGAAAATAATAAACGTCATGCGCAGTAATAACGGATTTTTAAAATAATTCCAAATAAAAAAAACTAATTTCTAAATTTTGAGGAATTTTACACATAGTCATACTACCAAAATTTCATTTAAATTGGTTAGGTTACTTCGAAAAGTGATTTAAAAAAAGAAACTCCTATCATACACCAATTTGAAAATTCTAAATAAAGTAATTTTGCAATGAAACTTAAAATCAATTAGAAAATAAGAAAATTAAAAAAAAAAATATTATTTTAATGAATTGCGATCTTTTGGTAAAGATTATAGGGGCCTCTAATTAATCTACCGATGTAATTAATATGTCGGTTGATATTCTACGATGCAACGTGTTATTACGAGCGACTTTTTTTTTTCCTCTCCTTTTTCGTTCTTTTATTCACTGTGGCAACGACATATTCAGGCCCCACGCAATATTCCTTCTTCCGCCTCTTAAAAAGATTTTTATCAACGATTATTCTCGCCCCGAGTGTGTGTTGTGCATTCGCGACGATTTACCGCTTTCGCCAAAGAAGAAGTTAATTCTCCGCAAGAGACGTGTCTCACTTTCGAGAGATGTGTTGCATGTATATTCATATATATATATATATAAATATGTGATACAATTAATAACGATTAACCGCGCTTTTGACGACTTTTGAGAGCGAATAATTGCTTCAAAAAAAAAAAAATATATATATATATATATATATATATATATATATATATATATATATATATGCTCATATTTCATAAATATTTCACATATGAAAATATAAAACAAATTCGAAATTTGAATAAATTTTTAAATATAACAAATTTAGCAGAAATTGGATTTGCATCCCTGAAATTGTAATAAAGTTTTTCAATACATGTAGGAAATTGTTAATCTAATTTTGAAAAGTAATTTTTTTTAAATTTATAAACGTTTGGTTAATATTCTATTTATAGCATTGCTCGCTTTTAACCTCTTGATATGTGAGTGATGTCGAAAGTATACATTTATATGCAAGATACTTAATGTTTTCTAGAAGGAGCAAAGAGCATTTCCAAAGAAGATACGATGCATCAGATGAAGTGAAAATTGCAATTAGAGACTTCTGAAACTGATATTACATAAAAGAATGTATTACATAAGAATATTTGTTTTTTTTATTAATCTCAAAATATATTCGAAAAATAAAATCTATTTTTAATTTTTCATATCATAAAAACAGTCAGTATTGTTAATTGTAATCTAGTTGTACAATTTTTTTCCTCTATAATAATAATTATTCTCTAACCCCGAATTGGCAAAATCAGTTTTTCCATCTTTTGTTTTCCTTTCATGTGTTTTATTTTTCTATTATAGTTTTCATTTCTATGATTTTTTTTTCTTATAATGCCTTTTTCTTTTGCTCTTCGGGAAACTGTGTGGAGTGCATATATACGCTTTGAGAAATGCCGGCCGTATCGGTGGATGGCTGCTGCTGTTGCGCGGTCTGAGTGATATAAAACCGGCATCAAGAATAAATACTCCATTGCGGGAGTTCCAGCCCTAAATATTCATGGGACACGCTCTCCTTGCACACCGTCTTATAAAATACATCGTTGTGTATACGTAAGACGAACGTCACATTACCACTACTATATTAATGCTACTGTCACGATTTTACTGTATATAATACTATTCACGCGACTATCAGTGCAGAAATTTAAATATGGAGTACCTACCAGATTTCCCTATCTCTGATGTCGCCCTTCCCAGAAAAACTGACTAGCGTTCTACAAGGCTGTTACCGACCTAATATCTTACTTAGGGAAAAATTTATCAATACCTTGTCATTTTTCCTTTCAATTCCCCTATTTTGTGAGATTATTTTTATTTCTTTTACAGTTTTTACAATTTTTTATTTCTAACTTATTTTCTATTTACGATTATTATATATTTACAGTACAGAATATAAGGGAATAATTTTGAAAAATCTCCAACGCATGGGGAATCGAACCAAGGACCCTTGGGATGCGAGCCATGTATTCTGACCACACAGCTACGTTGACTTTCTACATGTTTTTGGGTTTAAGGCTGGTTCTTTAAAAAAACTTTAAAGGAACATTTTTAGAGCCCTAAATAAGCCTTGAATTTGTGCGAAAATTTTTTTAAAAATTATTTAATTAAAATTTTAAAAGTGTGGTAAGTGTTAAGGTTGGTTTTTTAAAAATCTTCTCTAGGCCATGAGCTTTAGTTATCTAAAAATATTAACTTATTGAAAAAAAAGTAATTTTTTCTTTTCAATTAAAATTTTTCAAGAAAAAACGAATATTCTTGTAAACGTTATGAGCTATCGCCATATTCATATTCAAAAGATGCATTTTGAAAATTTAATATTTATCCTATGCAATACTTCTTCTATTAATAAGTTTTCTGATTAAAGAAAAACATTTGCCAAAAAGCCATAAATACTTCCATATTTGACAAATACTAGAGAACTAATAATATGATCAAACATAAAATTAACAAAAGTATCATCAACGTATTCGTCGTTTTTTGCTACATACAGATCGCTGCTTTTTAACAATTCTCTAATTAATTAAACTTTCTTGTATTGATTATTCTTATATTCTTGCAAATAATTATAAAGTGCATTAACAATTGGTATTTGTTTATTTTAGTCGATTTCTGAGAGGCAATTTGCAATGAATAAAAAATCACTGAGTATGTTTAAATAACTAAATATTGGTATAAGTTGTACCGTTTCTAGTGGATTTTTAAATGTATCCATTCTTGATATTTGAGTTTTAATAATTTATCATTTATATTTACTATTAATAAAATATATACATTAGCTTTTGTTTTATTACAAAATATTGTAAAAATTTACATTATGCATAAATAAACGTGTCACTCACGCTGCATCAACTATTATTTAATATAATAATATCTTTTTTTTCTTCTTTCGACGTTATTTACATTAAATTACTAAAAAAACAGTTACTATTAGTATACCTTTGTGAAGCATGAGAAACCAGCTCATCAAGTAGAGCGGCCTATTGGTTTTTTGGGACAGATCTCCCCTATTTAAAGATTTTAGGGAATCCAATCAGTCATTCCCGAGAGTACTCTAAATTCACTCCAATAAGGTAGTTGCTCCTTGTCAATTACACCGAGTATGACAATAGCCAAATTCAATATATTACGACCTGCGTTGACGTCGCGATTCCACGCAATTTTACAATTCTCGCAATACGCCGTTCTATTCTTCTTCATTAACATGCGCTCATTGCTAGTACTGCAGAGTTTAGTGGTTCTGTGCTCGTCGATAAAAACAATGTTGAAATAATTGTCAAGATTTCAGAGGCAAATAAATCATATATACTATAGATATAATTATGTATCTATTATATTAATAATTTACAATGGATATAATTTTAAAATTGTTTAAAGAAAATATTTTTTACGTCATATATATTATATATATAATAATTTAGACTGAAGAAAAGAAGACGAGGTAAAAGCATCTATTTCTCTTGTATGGATATTCTCACGTTTTACGACACATTCAAAGTATAATTTTCCCCGCGTAGACAGTGTGTATAGTGCGAAACGGCGCGTTTGAGTTCAAAAGTTGAATTTCAATAAAAAAATTACACACACAACGTCATAACTCAGCCGACTTTTATTACGTGTTTATTGAGGTTCATCGAGTTAAAATCACAGCCACCGCTTTTGCAATATACCGAACGTTCTTAGAGAGCACACATACTGTGCGGTTATAAAATGAAATCACTAAGGTACAAGGTCAGATAAAACATGATTCTGCGCTGCATCAAAGGATATAAGTGGCATATACAGGCGTTGACTTCCGCTTCTTTTGAGGAGCATAAAGTGACTATCACACGGCACTTTTAACGAGTGGCAGTGAACAAATACGTCTAAACGAACACTTGCGACTCTCGCGGTTCATTAAGCTTCCTGGCTTAATTATTACCTTTTTCTCTCCCATGACTGATTGGAGTCAATGTCCTTCAAGGTATATACACAACATTATTTTACTGATTCCTCGCGAGGACGAGAAAAATATTTCCTAGACTTTTTAACAAACAAATTTTTTTTTATTTTAATTCATTACAACATTTTCTATACATACATTAGATCTATATCCACAAAATACAGTACAGCACAAAATATTCTATAAACATGTAGATGACATCGTGATAATTATTTTTAAGATATATAAGATCACTAAAATTTATACAGTAACAATATGCGATAACTAAAGTTTATGAAACAATAATTTTTTTTAAGATTTCAAATTTCAGTATATACGATATTCAGAAACTAATATGTGCGATTTCATTTATAATATTTCTAAACCTAACGTGCTTCTCATTAATAGTGTGTCGAAACTTTAGCTTCAATTTTAAAACCTTGCCTAATTCTTTAATGTTCACTATTTCATGGTCTTCGATAAGGAATACACTTCCAGGCAAAAGAATTACATTTTTCTCTTTTACATTATAAAATTGTTCAATTTTCGCCCTTACATATAATCCATTAAAATCCATTTCATACAAAATATTCACACATTCAGGTGCTGGATAAACAGCAAATCTAATAGCAGATGTCAGATTTGGGTAAGCTTGTGTAAATTTTTGTAAAATAATGTTATACTGAAATGATAACATTCTGGCAATGGAAATTGGTTTAGCTTCTAATCTAAATAATTTTAAGTCAAACTCCCGGTCCGGATCGTCTGACTGTCTTATAGCCAATTTATATAATGCAATTTTCATCAGCTTTGCTTCTTGGGTATCCCTTGCTATTCTTGTGTATCCTGTTGTCACATAATTCCTAATCGCATAGTAATCATGAAATGTTACTGAATACCTTGCTTTCTGTTCGTTGTAATTTTTAATTATATTTTCTATAGATGCTTCTTCCTCAATTTGACGTCTTTCTTCCTTCGAATAAAGAGCATCGATTCTAAATTTACCTTCAAAATTTGATATATCATGTTTTTCAAAACGTGAGTCGTATCTTAATTTTTTTAAAAGATCAGAATTCTCAATTTCAAAGATTTTACTCCAAACAGGTGCTTCAAAGGTATTGTTATACATCCAATAATCAACAAATTGCAATAGAGTGATGTTATCAGGAAATGTGTATTTATTAAACAAGTTTCGTATCCATTCTTCAGAAATATTTATCTTATTTTTAATAAATGTTACGGCATCATCTTCGAAGACAGATTTTTCACTCAAACGTCGTTGTCTTCGGCAAAGATTATTAAGTTTCGATTTTTCAAAATAACTAATATCATCGTTACATTTCTCATCATAATCGTCAGCTTGAATTGGTATTCCAGAAAATATAAGTTTTTTAGAACTGCGCCAAAGTTGATTATTAATTTCATACATAACATGATCAGGTTCAGGTTCAAAACTTACATTATTTAATGCAATATATTTTTTTATTGCGTTTTCTGTGTCTCCTTGTGTAAATAATCTTTCATCTTTTAATTCGTAACCAGTTCTTAACTGTGCAATTTTTAATACATCGTCAGATAGAAAAATAAACTTATAACCATAACCACTTTGGTTATTTAAAGTATTTATGAATATTAATCGAGAATTATTTTCACCAATAGTACCAACGCTTTTGTATAAGTTGGATTTTAAAGTTGATATTTTAGAAAGACTATTAATGACTGATGTAAAACTGAAATTAATCTTTTCTCTTAAAGAATTAATTATTTTTTCAAATACCTTTATATTGTCTTTAGTTATAAATGTCAATTGAAATGCAGGATCTTTTATGTGTGAACAAATTTCGTCAAGTAATTTAGTTTTACCTAGTAGATTTGTTATTGATAGTTTGTGAGTTTGTCGATTTGTTATAATTTCATCTACTGTTTCACTACTTGCAATTTTTAAAAACACAGATTTGATATTTGTGCCTAATGAAGACAGAAAAGAACGTGAATTTGTTTTTATTGCTTTTAAAGATATGTCAATTGGAGATTTATAAAAAAATACTTTGTTATACGATGCACAAATATTTCTATAATTGTTTCCAAATGTATCTGATAAACAAGGATAATAAGGGACTAATGATAAACCAAATTCTTTCCACCAATCACTTTTCATTTCTTTATTTTCCGCTTGACAATCGTCTAAAATTTCTAACTGATACTCAAACCGTGATTTTTTATAATTTAGTAAGTTTTGGAAAAAGACAGTAATATTTTCATCAGTTCTTTTTAAAATAATAGGTGTTGCCGCACTAAATAATTTTTCAAAATACAACCTAATGTCTTCTGTAAAAACTTTTTCATTATCAGAATATTTTGTTAATATTACACTGTAATCTTCTTGTTTTAAAATATAGTATTCGAAACTTATGTTACTATTTGGAAAATAAAATTCCAAAACGTCATAAGATAAATTTTGCGGTTCTTCAAAATCACTATGTGCTGTTGTATTTAGAGGTAATAGTAATTTTATAATAACCGTCATATTGCTAAGTTTCTCTATTAGAGATTTTGAAAAGGCCTCTTGAACTAATTGAAATTCATATGTTCCATATAATTTTGTAATGTCATTAATTTGACTCCTAAAATAATCATCTTCACCAGATGGACGCTGATCAATTTCACAAAGCAATGCTTTAGGATAATACATGTAAAATAGAACTGCTGCGGCTCTTTTATTTTCGTCTAAATTAAGCAAATGTTGCTTTATGAAAGTTTTAGCCAATGATATCTTACTTTGAAAAGTAGAAAGTGCCACGTGCATTTTTAATGTATAATCATTGTTTAATTCAACATCAATGTCATTAAAAGCTTTAGATATATATTGGAATAAATGTTCATAAGCTGTCTGCCAAAAGTGTGAATCTGAAATTAAACTTGCCATGTTTTCATTGTCAACTAAATGTTTTGAATTAAAAACGTAATACGTTAGAGCTGGAAGGGCAAAAGTTTTTAACATTTCAAAATTCTTCCCATCAGTTAAAATTAACTTTTCAATTATTTGACCGATTATTAAGTATTGGTCAAATAAATTATCCTCAGTTGGATTTGCAACATTGTTTTCGTATTTAATATCATTGTTGGTATTTATTCTACCAGCTCGAAATAACATTGAACCAGCTTGTGCATAAATATAATCTATAGACAATAAACTAAGATTGGCTTTTGGTATAGGAAAAAGAGGTAAGATTATGTCGTTATATATTCTATCCACTGCTACTAAACTAAGAGTTGAGCTATAGCCATATTCATTTTCAAAAGATGCATTTTGGAGATTTAATATTACTCTCTGCAATACTTCTTTTATTTGTAAGTTTTCTGCATTACGAAAAACGTTAGTCAAAAAGCCATAAATATTTCCATATTTGACAAATACCAGAGAACTAATAATGTGGTCAAACATAACACTAACAAAAGTATGATCAACGTATTCGTCGTTTTCTGCTCCATACAGATCGCTGCCTTTTAACAATTCTCTAATTAATTGAACTTTCTTGTATTGATTATTCTTATATTCTTGCAAATATTCATAAAGTGCATTAACAATTGGTATTGGTTTATTTTGGTCGATTTCTGAGAGGCAATTTTCAATGAATAAAAAATCACTGAGTATGTTTAAATAACTAAAGATCGGTATAAGCTGTACCGTTTCTAGTGGATTTTTAAATGTATCCATTCTTAATATTTGAGTTATAATAATTTATCATTTATATTTACCAGTCTGTGAATAATATAATGCTGACACATTTATTCTTTCTTGTCGTTGATGTCACTCTATTCTCTCTCAATAAAGAGGACTTTTATAAAAAAATTCAAATATTATCTGAAAAATAATAAAGTTTATTATTGAATAATGAATATTATATATTGTGAAATATATTGTTTTACCTGATATTGTTTACGAAACTCTGCAGCTTTCAATAATTAGATACTTGTGGTTAATTTATTTCACAAAGAAAAATTGAAATAAATATTATTTGCTATAAAAGTGACTATTCTAATCTGAATGTGTTAATTGTTGCTTAAGGTGGAATTATGTTTTTATATATTTTGTTATTGATACAACTAAAAGAAGAAAAGAAATAAAAAAAATTTTATTCAATACATATATTTATTAGAACCGTAATTTCAAAATTAATATAAATTAGTAAAATAAAAAATAGTTTTTAATTTTACGAAATAAGTATATGTACTCTCTTATCAGTTACGAGGTACATACAATATTATCAATATTTTACCATAAGTAAACTAACTCTAAAAACATTTTAAATTTATTCTATATCTATGTCAAGAAAACTTTTCAGTTATAAATATTCTGAATTTATATACAGAAAGAAATATTATATTAATTGTAGTTAGATATTATGATTACTTGATATAATTAATTTTCAATTCTTTTTTTTCCATCTCAAAATCATTTGAGGATCATTTTTTTGTAAAATCAATATTGCACGGGCATTATTTCGAATCCACGTTTTTTCTATGTTCATGCAGTACAACTCCGATAAGTTTCTGTCCGTTAAGTTTCCATTCCCCTTAACCCGTCATCACATCAACGATTACTCACACTAATTACAGTCGAATCTCCCATTAGTTAATTCTGGTGGGGGGTTAACTTATGAGAGAATTGCCGCGTAAGGAGAAATAGTTGCGCAGTGACCTATTGCGCATGGCGGTCAATTTCAAAATATATGTTTGAAGTCTTGTGAAGTAAATGAGTTATTAGAAATGTTTGAATATTTAATTTAATATAAGTTTAGTTGACTGTAAAAAACATTGTCGGTACATACTTGTATTATTCTTTTAACTACTTTTATTAATTTTATAAATCATGGACGGAATTTTATTCATGATAAAATATTATTTGAGTTAATTGGAAATATTATTAAGGAATTAATATTCGTAAATGATGCAGCTACATCAGTGAAACAATTATTTAATAATTAAATTAAATTAAAAAAAACAAAATTCAATTAAATTAAAAGAAAATTCTTTTAAACATGAATCGAATGTTTTTATTCTAGGTAGTGGTTATGTTTATTTATGTGTCAGCCATCTTGGCACCACTATGCGCATGTGTAATGACTAAAGTTTTTTTTAGATAGAGGGGATACGTGATAGGAGAAAATTAACTTATGGGAAGTTAACTTATGGGAGATTCGACTGTAGATGTTTTCACTGCGGCGCATGCTCACTTACACTTGTTTTTCAAAATATTTTCAAATTTACTGTCAGTTTTTAATTGGTACCTAATTGTTGTCTAGAACCAGGTAAATCTATAAAAGAATTATCAAATACATTTAATATTACAGAAAAAACAATTGAATCCTGGTTAAAAAATAAGAATCACATAAAAAAATTAATTATTAAAAGACGTTATTCAGAAGTATTTATTTAATTGTTAAATATATAGGAAACATTTTTTCTGAAATTTAAATTACTTTTCAAAATAATTATTGGTATAATGAAAAATATTCATTAAGTTGTCGTAAAATAAAGATTTATCAAGTAGATAATACGAGATAATGAAAATAAATGTAAATTAGATAATTAAATCTACAAATTGTAATTCATCACAAAAAATTAACTAACACACTACTTTAATATAAATCCCTCACAACAAAAGGATATTCAGGATATCCTTGGGACGTCCTGGGGATATCGATTTTTTTTCGGCGGTTTGGATATCCCTGGGATATCTTAGAGATGTCCATGGATATCCAGAGGATATCTTAGGGATATCCGAATCGCCAAAAGCAAATGGATAACCCCAGGACGTCCCAGGGATATCCTTAATATCCTTGTGTTGTGAGGGAAAAAATAAATTTTTCAATTGATTCTAGGAGATCGATTTGGAGTAGTATTTATATTGTTATATCTAGAAATATTGCATTTATAAAATTCAGTGTATTTTAAAATTATAATTAACTGTTAATGTTTTTTATATGTTGAGATTATTTATTTAATATAGATTTAAAAACATTATATTCACAAAAATAGTTTAAAAAAAGCGTCTTAATGTGTTTCCACCACTCAAGAATGAATATGAAAACAATACTTGAATATTGAAATATGAAGTATTTAAAAGTTTTAAGATAGATAAATACATTTTTATAATTACTGTAATATAAATAATTAGGTATTAGATAATTAATTTTTTTAAAGAAATTACAAATATTGTTAAGCTAAAGTCATTATTTATAAAATTTTACAATAAAAATATACATTATTTTTACTATTATTACTGTTATTAAATTATTACATTATTAAAAACATTAAATTAAAATTTTTTTAAATCATGATTTTAGAAGAGATACGAATAATAAATGATTAACAGAGACGCCGTCAATTGGTGTTAAAAGTGTTGAGTATTGTTTTAACACAATTTTTGTTGTTATGAAGACACCATTTTCTTGTGTTGACAATTTGAACATTTGCATTACTTGTTGACACATTTTTCCTTGGAAAATGAAACATATCTTTTCAACCAGCAGTTTGATTTCAAAAAAAAAATATCTAAAAAAATTCTCAGGCTATTATACAATTTTATTTCATGTTAAATATAATACATTTTAACGGTTTCTCTACCCAGGATAAACAGAACATTTAAGAAAAAAAAGCACATCCCCAAAATTTATACTGTACCAGTTTGCGGTAACTGTAGTTTATTAAACAATAATTTTTAAAAATTTTGAACTATATATTATATACAATAATTATAAACTAATGCGTGCAATTTTATTCATGATATTTATAAGCCATACGTACTTCTCATTAATAGTGTGTCGAAACTTTAGCTTTAATTTTAAAACCTTGCCTAATTCTTTAATGTTCACTATTTCATGGCCTTCGATAAGGAATACACTTCCAGGCAAAAGAATTACATTTTTCTCTTTTATATTATAAAATTGTTCAATTTTTGCCCTTGCATATGATCCAATAAATTTCATTTCATACAAAATGTTTATAAATTCAGGAGCAGGATAACCAGCAAATCTAATAGCGGACGTTTGACTTGAATAAGCTTGTGTAAATTTTTGCAGAGTAATGTAGTTTTGAGAAAGTAAATTTCTATGTATTGCACTTGGTTTAGATTCCATTCTAAATAATTTAGAATCAAACTCTTCGTCTGGATCATCAGATTGTCTTATAGCTAATTTATATAATGCAATCTTCATCAACTTTGCTTCCTGGGTATCCCTTGTAATTCTCGTATATCCTGTTGTCACATAATTCCTAATCGCATAGTAATCATGAAATGTTACTGAATACTTTGCTTTCTGTTCGTTGTAATTTTTAATTATATTTTCTATAGATGCTTCTTTCTCAATCTGATGTCTTTCTTCTTTTGAATAAAGAGCATTGATTCTAAATTCACCATCAAAATTTGATATATTATGTTCTTCAAAACGTGAGCCATATCTTAATTTTCTTAAAAGATCAGGATTGTCAATTATATAGTTTCCACTCCAAATAGGTTCTTCAAAGGAATTGTTCTTAAGCCAGTAATTAACAAATCGCATTAGGGTTGCTTTATCTGGAAATGTGAATTTTCCAAGCACATTGCGTATGCGTTCATCAGGAACTCTTGCATAATTCTTAATAAATGTTACGGCTTCTACTTCGTAGACAGATTTGTCACTAAAACGTCGTTGTCTTCGGCAAAGATTATTAAGTTTCGACTTTTCAAAATAACTAATATCATTATTACATTTTTCATCATAATCATCAGGTTGAATTGGTATTCCAGAAAATAAAAGTTTTTTTGAACTACGCCAAAGTTGATTATTAATTTCATACATAACATAATCAGGTTTAAAACTTCCATTATTTAGAGCAATAAACATTTTCATTTCTTTTTCTATATCCCCTTGTGCTAAAAATCTTTTATCTTTAAATTCGTAACCTGTTCTTAACTGTGCAATTTTTGACACATCGTCAGATATAAAAATAAACTTATAACCATAACCACTTTGGTTATTTAAAGTATTTATGAAAATTAATCGAGAATTCTTTTCATCAGTCATACCAACGGTTTTGTATAAGCTAGATTTTAAAGCTGATATTTTAGAAAGACTATTAATGACTGACGTAAAACTGAAATTAATCTTTTCTCTTAAAGAATTAATTATTTTTTCAAATGCCTTTATATTGTCTTTAGTTATAAATGTCAATTGAAATGCAGGATCTTTTATGTGTAAACAAATTTCTTCAAGTAATTTATTTTTACCTAGTAGATTTGTTATTGATAGTTTGTAAGTTTGTCGATTTGTTATAATTTCATCTACTGTTTCACTACTTGCAATTTTTAAAAACACAGATTTGATATTTGTGCCTAATGAAGACAGAAAAGAACGTGAATTAGTATGTATTGCTTTTGAAGATATGTCAATTGAAGATTTATAAAAAAATACTGTGTTATATGATGCACAAATATGTGTGTAATTGTTTCCTAATGTATCTGATAAACAAGGATAATATGGAACTAATGATAAACCAAATTCTTTCCACCAATCACTTTTCATTTCTTTATTTTCTCCTTGACTGTTGTCTAACATTTTAAAGTGAGACTCAAATCGTGATTTTTTATAATTTAGTAAATTTTGAAAAAAAACAGTAATGTTTTCGTCAGTTCTTTTTAAAATTATAGGTGTTGCCGCACTAAGTAATTTTTCAATATATAACCTAATGTCTTCTGTAAAAACATTTTCATTATCAGAATATTTTGTTAATATTACACTATAATCTTCTTGTTTTAAAATATAGTATTCAAAACTTGTATTATTATTTGGAAAATAAAATTCCAAAACGTCATAAGATAAATTTTGCGGTTCTTCAAAATCACTATGTGCTGTTGTATTTAGAGGTAAAAGTAATTTTATAATAACAGTCATATTGCCCAGTTTCTCTATTAGAGAATTTGGAAAGGCCTCTTGAACTAATTGAAAATTAAATCTTCTATATAATTCGATTAAACTATTGAGTTGATTCTTAAAATACTCATTTGGATCAGGTAAACGTTTGTCTATTTCACAGTAAAAAGATTTGGGATAATGCCAATAAAATGAAAATCCTAAATCTCTTTCTTTCTTGTCCAAATGTGAACAATGTTTATTCATGAAAGTTTTTGCCAATGCTACCTTACTTTGAAAACTAGAAAGTGCTAGGTGCATTTTTAATGTGTAGTCATTCTTTAACTTAACATTAATGTCATTAAAAGCTTGAGTTGTATATTCAAATAAATTTGTATACGCTGCTTGCCAGAAATTTGATTTTGTAATTAAATTTACCATGTTTTCATAGTCAAACAAATATTCGGAATTAAAAATATAATATATTAGAGCAGGGAGAGCAAAAGCTTTTAACATTTCAAAATTCTTCTCATCAGTTAAAATTAACTTTTCAATTACTTGACCGGTTATTAAGTATTGGTCAAATAAATTATCCTCAGTTGGATTTGCAACATTGTTTTCGAATTTAATATAATTGTTGGGATTTATTCTACCAGCTCGAAGAAACATTGAACCAGCTTGTGCATAAATATAATCAATAGACAATAAACTAAGATTTGTATTTGGTACAGGAAAAAGAGGTAATATTATGTCGTTATATATTCTGCCTACTGCTAGAAAACTAAGTGTTGAACTATCCCCACATTCATTTTCAAAAGACGCATTTTCAAGATCTAATATTATCCTATTTAATACTTCTTCTATTTGAGGGTTTTCTGCTTCACGAAAAATATTAGCCAAAAAGCCATAAATATTTCCATATTTGTGAAATACTAAAGAACTAATAATGTGCTCAAACATAACTGTAACAAAAGTAACATCAACGTATTCTTCATATTTTTCTCCATAAAGATCGCTGCCTTTTAACAATTCTCTAATTAATTGAGCTTTTTTGAATTCATTCTCCTCGTAGTCTTGCAAATATTTATAAAGTGCATTAATAATTGGGATTTGTTTATTTTGATCAATTTCTGATAGATAATTTTCAATGAATAAAAAATCACTGAGTATGTTTAAATAACTAAATATTGGTATAAGTTGTACCGTTTCTAGTGGATTTTTAAATGTATCCATTCTTAATATTAGAGTTATAATAATTTATCATTTTTATTTACAACTGAATATTTGTATGATATTGTATGATACTAATAGTCTTACAATTGGTGATATGAAACTATTTTACTTTTTATTTTGTCATTAATGTCAATGTCGTTGGTTTCCATAAAAGAGATATCATTTACAGTAATTCAATTATTATCTGAAAAATGATATACACAATTATTGAAGAATTAGTGTTAATCTTAATAAATTTAAATTAGTAGAAAATGATACAAAACTACTAAAACAGTAACTGAGAGGTTATTTTAGAAAAATTTATGTTTAACACAAATGTTTGCCTTATACTTTATCCACAGTGTTAATTTCATCGGGAAATTTACTCTTAAAATATTGAATGGATTGATTTGAGATTTTTTTTATGAAGGGTCACAATGTATTTTAGACATTTTCACAAAAATTGTAGTTCAATCTAATTTATATTTTAATATTCAAATTCTTGATAGAATTAACATTGTAGCCCTAATAAACACATACTACTTGTTAGATTTGATTTAGTTAAAAATAACTAATTATTAAATTCACTTTTAGGTTATGTCAAAGTATTTAAAATTTCTGGTAATTAATTAAATTTGTTAAATTCGACTATTTTTTCAATAAAAAATAGTTACTTTTTACTAATTATTAGTTATTTATTTTTTTAATTGCTAAAGCAAAACGACAGCCAAGATTTTACTAAAAATTATTTATTTTCAACTAATTCAGATTTAGAAAGTGGAAAATACTTTAAGTCCTACTTAAAAATTATTATTGCGAGTGAATCAAATATTATGGATTGAAATAAAAGATGGAAATAACAGGTAAAAAATTATGTAAAAATTATAAATTAATATCACTCTGATTGAAAAAATCTGTTACATTAAGCAATATATTATCATCTACTGAAATTTAAAACAAACTTTAAACTATAAGCTAAAATTATTATTTTATAATTTTTACTAATTAAATTATTATTATTATTATTTGAAATAATTTTTTTTTAAATTTTTTGTTCTGGATAAATATTTATTTAATCGTTAAAAAAAACGACATTATTATTATTTAAAAGTTAAAATTAGTTTTGATATTAACTTATAAAATTTATATAACATTCCATTTAATAAACTATAACGTCTTTAGAAATATTAAATGCTTTTATTTAAAATGTATTTATGCTATAGAATTTGTCAAAAAATGAGAGTTTTGTTGTATATTTTTTTAAAAAAGTAATTTTCATGCTTGACAGAAATATTTTAATTCAATAGAACAATATAATAATACAATGTATATATAATACAATACACTAATTTCGAGGGAAAAAATGCTTTACTTGAAATTTAGTTGATGGTTAGTAAATAGTTAGGTACAATAGAAACAGAAATATAAAATTTATATTATATTATTACGTAATTTTATTTACCTTGTACAGTATTTTAATACGCTGCTGATTTCAATAGTTAGATTATTTTTGTAAATACTTTATTATATAGAAAGTAGTTTAAAAAAATATATTATTTTCTATAAGCAAATTACTATTGCGATCGAAACTTCAGTGTTAATATTCAAACTGGATTTATATTTTTCTTTATCTGTCACCAAAATTTTTCAACATGTCTATAGTTTTATTGGTACAATTGAAAAAGTAAAACTTAATATTTACTCAGTACGTAGATAAGATAAGCGGAATTTTAAAATTAACATAAATTAGTGTAAGGCACAATAGTTCTTAATTTTACAAAGAAAATTATAAACAACAGTTTTTAAAAAATTTAATCAATGAACGAGTTCATATGAAATTTGGTTTCAGGTTCTTTTTGGGTTGATGATTATGAATATAATGTTAGATTTCCGTAATTTAAAATGAAGAATACAGAAAGGCTGCTTACAATTTTTTTAAATTTGAACTATTACGGATTTCTATAAAACTTGATTTTTGTGTAGGATTCATGTAGCTGAAGATAAATCTAATTTCATATTTTTACAATTAAAAACAACAGATCCAATAAAAAATTGTCCTCTATTTTGAATTTTTTTAAATTGACTTTACATTTATAATCAGTGATTCCAAAAAACCCTGTAAGTAACAATATTAAAGCATCAAAATATTCAGGATATCCAACGAATATTCTGGGATGTTCTGGGAATATCATTTGGTCATTGGATATTCTGGGTAAATCCAAATTTCCAGTAGTGGGATTACGAATAGCGCTTGTCGCTATGTAGCGCTTTTCGCTATTTAGGGTTAAAAACTTACATATTTTTAGTCAAATTTGTTCTAAATGATGTCCAAAATAAAATAGCGTTGACAGTTTTTTCAAAACTTAAACAGCAAGATCGTAATTCCAAAGAGAATATAAACATAACCCTACTGGATAAGACCTTTGACATAGAATTCATGTCAATTTCCTAAAAGGTTTTATCTACGTAGCAAACAAATATTACACGAAGGTGGAAACAATTCTCTAACTTCATGTTTGCGAACTGTTAGTTTCAAATAAAATAATTAACTAGTGACGAAATAAATTATACTTTAATATTGCAAATAACCTATTAATTTAATAAATAACAACTTTAAAAATAAATTATCTAGTTTAATGTTAAAATAATTTATAAAGGAAATAAATTTTTTTAATTTAATTTAATAAATAAAAATTAAGAAAATTAATCTTATTGCAAGAATTTAAAATAATAATTGCATGAGATTTAAAATTAGCATATACTTTACCAGCCTAAATTTAAAAATTGATAAATTTTTTAAATTAAATTGATTTAAATTTGCATTTCTTGAAAAACTCTTTAACTCACAAAAAATGCCCTATACATTTTTTTAGTGAAACCTGGCGTGAGAACAAAAATTCTATTTCCGAGGTTATATCTTCAAAATTTTTTAAATTAAATTTTTTACCCATTTTAGACAATGTCTAATATTGGATAAAGTTGAATTATTTTCTTGACATTTTGTAAGGATAGAAATTTAAAATAATTGTTTTCTTTATTTCTTTATTATTCTTATGTTTTATTTAGTTTATAATTATTAATTATAAAAAAATTTCAGGTTAAAATTTAGAAATAAAAGTGTTAATATAATAATATTAATAATTATCGTTGCCTCAAATTGCCTTTTTTATAACTTTTGAAATTGTTACACTTGGAAAATTTGTCAGGCTTTTAGATATTTCTTTTAATTGCTTCATTTCTTCATCGTGGGAAATCCTTATGAATTTGATACATTTTTAATATTAAAAAAATTGTTAAATTATAAAATAAAGCAAATATGAGTAAAAAAATACACAGAAAAACAATTGTACCAACCTAAATCTATCAAAATGATACCATTTTTTTAGTCACCCGATAGCAAGAAACTTTTTTAAAATGAATGTAGCTTTGAATCGCTACGTAGCGAAATCTTCGTAGCGCTGTCGCTATTTGTAATCCCACTCCAGATACTTCTAGGCTGTCCGTAGGATATTCTAAAGTATCAGTTGCTGTGAGAGTTGTTAAGAACAAATAAGTTGTTATTTATTGTCTTTTGGCACTATTTTACCATAAGTAAACTAACTCTAACTAAATACATAAACATTTAATTTATTCTATATCTATATAAAGTAAGCATTTTAGTGACAGAAATACTTAATTTCAAATTTTTTTATACAATATTCATAAGTTGATGTGTGCAATTTCATTCATGATATTTTTGTACCAAACATATTTTTCATCATAAGTATGTCGAAACATTAGCTTTAGTTTTAATACCTTGCCCAATCCTCCAATGCTCACAAATGTACGATGTACAATCAAAAACTCGCTTCCAGGTAGAAGAATTACATTATTATCTTTTTGGTTGTAAAATTGTTCAACTTTTGCCCTTACATAAGGTCTACTAAACACCATTTCATACATAATGTTTATACATCCAGGTGCTGGATAAGCAGCAAAACTTTTAGCAAAGGCCGCACTTGGAAAAGCTTGTGTAAATTTAGTTAGAGTAATATTATTATAAGGCGATAACTTTCTATCAATTTTAATTGGTTTAGATTCGACTCTAAATAATTTTAAATCAAACTGATTTTCTGGATCATCAGATTGTCTTATAGCTAATTTATATAATGCAATCTTCATCAGCTTTGCTTCTTGGGTATCCCTTGTTATTCTCGTGTATCCTGTTGTAGCAAAATTTCGTATCGCATAGTAATCATGAAATGCAACAGAATAACTTGCATTCTGTTCATTGTACTCTTTAATTATATTTTTTATAGGTGCTTCTTCCTCAATTAAATGTCTTTCTGCTTTCGTGTAGAGGCCATTGATTCTAAATTCACCATCAAAATTTGATATAGCATGTTGTTCAAATCGTGAGTGGTATCTTAATTTTATTAAAAGGTCAGAATTTTCAATTTCGAAGATTCTACTCCAAGCAGGTACTTCGAAGGAATTGTTATATATCCAATAATCGACAAATTGCATTAGAGTTAAGTTATCTGGAAATGTGAATTTATCAAATACGCTGGTTATCTGTTCTTCAAGGATATTTGTCTTGTTCATTACAAATTTTATCGCTTCTCTCTCGTATATAGTTTTTTCATTGAAACGTTGTTGTCTTCGACAAATGTTAAAACTTTTCCAAATTTTAAGGTTCTGTATATCCTTACATTTTTCATTATTATCATCAGCTTGAATTTTTATTCCAGAAAAAATAACTTTAGTAGGACTCTTACGAAGTTGATTATTAATTTCATACATAGAATGATCAGGTTCAGGTTTAAAACTAACATTATTTAAAGCAATATATTTTTTTATTGCGTTTTCTGTGTCCCCTTCTGTAAATAATCTCTCATCTTTTAATTCATAACCAGTTCTGAAATGAGCAATTTTTGATATATCGTCAAATAGGAAAATAAACTTATAACCATAACCAGTATCACTTTGATTATATAAATTGTTTATGAAAATTAATCGAGTATTGTCTTCACCAACAGTACCAATGGCTTTGAAAGAATTTGATTTTAAGATTTTTATCTTATAAAGACTATTTATGGTAGAATTAATTTTAAAATTTGTCTTTTCTCTTAAAGAAATAATTATTATTTCAAATAAAAGTATTCTGTCTTCTGTTGTAAATGTCAACTGAAATGCAGGATCTTTAATGTGTAAACAAATATCTTTAAATAATTCAATTTTATTTACTAAATTTTTTATTGTGAGTCCAGATTTTTGTTCTTCAATTAGAATTTCATCTACTGTTTCAGAAATTGCATTTTTCAAAAATACTGATTTGATAGTTGTACCTAATGAAGACAGAAAAGATCGTGATTTATTGTTGATTGCTTTTGAAGATATGTTATTTTGGTATTTGTAAAAAAAATGTTCTTTACTTAGCACACAAATATTCCCGTAATTTGTTCCTAAACAAGGATAATATGGCACTAATGACAAACCAAATTCTTTCCACCAGTAACTTTTTATTTTCTTACTTTCTTCTTGACAATTGTCTAAAATTCCTAACTGACTTTCAAATCGCAATTTTTTATAATTTATTAAGTTTTGGAAAAAGACAGTAATATTTTCGTCAACTGTTTTTAAAATAATAGGTGTCGCAACACTGAATACTTTTTCAAAATGTAATCTAATATCTTCTGCAAAAATGTCTTCATTATCGGTGTATTTGATTAATGTTGCGTTGTAATCTTCTCGTTTTAAAATATAGTATTCAAAACTTATATTTTTAGGGAAAAAAAATTCTAAAATATCATAAGGTAAATGTTTTGACTCATCAAAATCATTATAAAACACTGTATTGTTAGGAATTAACAATCTTATAACAACTGTCATAAGATCAAGTTGATCCATTAGAGATTTTGAAAAGGCCTTTTCGACTATTTGCAATTCATGTGTTTTATATAATTCGGAAATGTTATTAATTTTACTTTTAGCATATTCACTTATATTAGCTTGACCTTTTCTATATTGATAGTACAATGATTCAGAATTAGATGAATAAAGTGCTAAATTACAATTATTGATTTTCTCCGCGAAGGATTCGACTAATGCGTTGCCAGTTCGAAAACTAGAAAGTGCCATGTGCATTTTGAATGTGTAATCAGACTGTAACTCAACATTAATATCATTAAAAGCTTCAGTTGTATATTGAAATAAATGTTCATAGGCCGTCTGCCAGAAATATGACTCTGAAATAAAATTTGCCATGTTTTCATAGTCAAATAAAAATTTTGAATTAAAAGCGTAATAAGTTAGAGCTGGAAGAGCAAAAGCTTTTAACATTTCGACATTTTTCTCATCAGTTAAGATTAACTTTTCAATTACTTGACCAGTTATTAAGTATTGGTCAAATAAATTATCCTCAGTTGGATTTGCAACATTGTTTTCGTATTTAATATAATTGTTAGTATTTATTCTACCAGCTCGAAGAAACATTGAACCAGCTTGTGCATAAATATAATCAATAGACAATAAATCAAGATTACTATTTGGTATAGGAAAAAGAGGTAATATTATGTCGTTATATATTCTTGCCAATGATAAAGGACTGAGTTTAGACCTGTTGCCGTATTCGTTTTCATAAGATGCATTGTCTAGACTTAATATTATCTCATCAAGTACTGTTTCTATCTGTAAATTGTCTAATTTATGAAAAATATTAGCCACAAAACCATAAATATTTCCATATTTGTCAAATACTAGAGAACTAATAATGTGGTCAAACATAACATTAACAAAAGTAACATCAACGTATTCGTCGTCTTTCGCTCCATACAGATCGCTTCCTTTTAATAATTCTCTAATTAATTGAACTTTCTTTAATGCATTATTCTCATAGTCGTGTATATATTCATAAAGTGCATTAACAATTGGTATTGGTTTATTTTGGTCGATTTCTGAGAGGCAATTTTCAATGAATAAAAAATCACTGAGTATGTTTAAATAACTAAAGATTGGTATAAGCTGTACCGTTTCTAGTGGATTTTTAAATGTATCCATTCTTGATATTTAAGAAAACTATAAAAATAGTTTATCATTTATATTTAACAGTTTGATTAATATGATGCTATTTCAGTTATATTTTCTTGCCGTTGATGTCTATGATTTCTCTTTCAATAAAGAGGTCATCATTTATTAAAATTCAAATATTATCTACAAAATAATAAATTTTATTATTGAACAATGAATGTTACTATATTTTAAAATTATTAAAAATTTAAGCAGTTACTTGAAATTAATTTTAAAATCATATGCTATGAAGAATTTGTTTAATAAATCAATTAATAATTTCCACGCTAATAATAAAAATATTTTTTATTTAACAGTAGAACTCTTAATGTTTAGATTTATATAATACACTCTAAAGAAAAAAATCTTTACTTAAAATTTAATTTATGATTATCAAATAGTTAAGTAAAATGGAAACAATGCATGAGGAAGAAATTCTGAAACATATTGTTTTACCTGATATTGTTCATGAAACTCTGGAGCTTTTAATAATAATGTGATAGTGGTAACAATTATTTTTCATTTGGGGTTTATATATATATATATACAATATATATAAAAAATATGTAAAATATATATAAAATTTTTGTTTATCTTTAAATAAACTGTAGAACTATTTCCACAGTTTTATTGATACAACTGATGAAGTAAAAATAAATTTTTAGTCAAAACTTATATATTATAATCGTAATGTTAAAATTAACATAAATTAGTGTAATGTAAAATGGTTTTTTTATTTTTCGAAATAAGCATAAGTACATATTGTCTGTTACAAGGTACATATAATGACAATATTATCAATATTTTATCATAAGTCACTCTATAAACATTTTATTTATTCTATATCTATATTAACAATATTTCTTGTGTTGACAATTTGAATGTTAGCATCCTTTGAAAAATGAAACAAAACTTTTGAACCAGCAGTTTGATGTCAAAAAAAGAAAATTAAAAAAAATGCTCAGACCATTATAAAATTTTATTTTATGATAAATATAATACTTTTTAATGGTTTTACACCCAGGAAAAAAAAATATTTAAAAAAACACATCACTAATACTGTAACAGTTTGTGACAACTGAAGTTTAAGAAACAATAATTTTTTTAAGATTTAGAATTTCAGTATATGGGCGATTCCACGTTAAATTTACAATCAAATTTTTAATTCGGCCAAAAACATTTTTTCTTCATTCCTTATTGAAAAAAAGGATACGTATTTTTTTTTATGGCCAAATTTTCTCACTATGAATTTTTGAAATTTTAGATTTTCAAAAGTCGATTTATTTTCAATCACATGTATCTTTAAAATTATCAACTTTAGAAAAATTTTGCTAAGAGAAAAAAAGTTTAGTTTTTTCACGACTTTTAAATAATTTAAACAAAAAAAAAATTTTGAATTTTTATAAAAAAAATATTAGTTTTTTATAATTTTATAATTTAATTAATCGTATAAACAATAGAAATGTTTAAATATGTTTATATTTAAAGTTTTAACAAATCCGTTTTGTAATAAACAGATGTAACAAGTTAAAAAAATATAAAATGCCTCTTAAAGAAAATTTCTTTTCAAACTAGATAGACTCACAAAGCACCGCGCGCGCATTAAGCTTGCAATCCGAGTTTAAATATTTATTTAAACTTATTAAACTTATCAGGCCCACTCTGAAACCTTTTCTAAAGTCTTCTTAACACTTCCAGGTAGGTATAAAAAAAAAAAAAAAATCGGGCCCAAATGTAAAAAACATTAATTTGTTTATAAAAAACTAATATTTTTTTATAAAAATTCAAATTTTTTTTTGTTTAAATTATTTAAAAGTCGTGAAAAAACTAAACTTTTTTTCTATTAGCAAAATTTTTCTAAAGTTGATAATTTTAAAGATACATGTGATTGAAAATAAATCGACTTTTGAAAATCTAAAATTTCAAAAATTCATAGTGAGAAAATTTGGCCATAAAAAAAATACGTATCCTTTTTTTCAATAAGGAATGAAGAAAAAATGTTTTTGGCCGAATTAAAAATTTGATTGTAAATTTAACGTGGAATCGCCCATATACAATATTTAGAAACTAATATGTTCGATTTTGTTCATGATATTTCTATACCACATGTACTTCTCATCAATAGTGTGTTGAAACGTTAGCTTTAATTTTAAAACCTTGCCTAATTCTTTAATGTTCACTATTTCGTGGTCTTCGATAAAGAACTTACTTCCAGGCAAAAGAATAACATTTTTCTCTTTTACATTATAAAATTGTTCAATTTTTGCCCTTACATATAATCCATTAAAATCCATTTCATACAAAATATTCATATATTCAGGTGCTGGATAACCAGCAAATCTAATAGCGGATGTTCGATTTGGATAAGCTTGTGTAAATTTTTGTAAAATAATGTTATATTGAGAAGATAACATTCTGGCAATGGAATTTGGTTTAGCTTCTAATCTAAATAATTTTAAGTCAAACTCCCGGTCCGGATCGTCTGACTGTCTTATAGCCAATTTATATAATGCAATTTTCATCAGCTTTGCTTCTTGGGTATCCCTTGTTATTCTTGTGTATCCTGTTGTCACATAATTTCTTATCGCATAGTAATCATGAAATGTTACTGAATACCTTGCTTTCTGTTCGTTGTAATTTTTAATTATATTTTCTATTGATGCTTCTTCCTCAATCTGACGTCTTTCTTCTTTCGAATAAAGAGCATTGATTCTAAATTCACCATCAAAGTTTGAAATATTGTGTTCTTCAAAACGTGGGTCATATCTTAATTTTCTTAAAAGATCAGGATTTTCTAGTATATAGTTTGCACTCCAAATAGGTTCTTCAAAGGAATTGTTTTTAAGCCAATAATTGACAAATTGCACTAGGGTTGCTTTATCTGGAAATGTGAATTTTCCAAGTACATTGCGTATGCGATCATCAGGAACACTTGAACTGTTCTTAATAAATGTTACGGCCTCTTTTTCGTATCTAGCTTTTTCATTAAAACGTTGTTGTCTTTGACAAAGATTATTAAGTTTCGACTTTTTAAAATAACTAATTTCATTATTACATTTCTCATCATAATCATCAGCTTGAATTGGTATTCCAGAAAATAAAAGTTTTTTAGGTCTACGCCAAAGTTGATTATTAATTTCATACATAACATATTCAGGTTTAAAACTTACATTATTAAGAGCAATAAACATTTTCATTTCATTTTCTATGTCCCCTTGTGCTAAAAATCTTTTATCTTTAAATTCGTAACCTGTTCTTAACTGTGCAATTTTTGACACATCGTCAGATATAAAAATAAACTTATAACCATAACCACTTTGGTTATTTAAAGTATTTATGAAAATTAATCGAGAATTCTTTTCACCAATAATACCAACGCTTTTGTATAAGTTGGATTTTAAAGTTGATATTTTAGAGAGACTATTAATGACTGACGTAAAACTGAAATCGAATTTTTCTCTTAATGAATTAATTATTCTTTCAAGTACACTCACATCGTCTTTAGTTATAAATGTCAATTGAAATGCAGGATCCTTTATGTGTAAACAAATTTCTTCAAGAAATTTGTTTTTACTTAATAGATTTGTTATTAAAATTTTATAATTTTGTCGATTTGTTATAATTTCATCTACTGTTTCACTACTTGCAATTTTCAAAAACACAGATTTGATATTTGTGCCTAATGAAGACAGAAAAGAACGTGAATTAGTTTGTATTGCTTTTGAAGATATGTCAATTGGAGATTTATAAAAAAATACTGTGTTATACGATGCACAAATATTTCTATAATTGTTTCCAAATGTATCTGATAAACAAGGATAATATGGCACTAATGATAAACCAAATTCTTTCCACCAATCACTTTTCATTTCTTTATTTTCCGCTTGACAATCGTCTAAAATTTCTAACTGAGACTCAAACCGTGATTTTTTATAATTTAGTAAGTTTTGGAAAAAGACAGTAATATTTTCATCAGTTCTTTTTAAAATTATAGGTGTTGACACACTAAATAATTTTTCAAAATATAACCTAATGTCTTCTGTAAAGACTTTTTCATTATCAGTATATTTGGTTAATATTGCATTGTAATCTTCTTGTTTTAAAATATAGTATTCGAAACTTATTTTATTATTTGGATAATAAAATTCCAAAACGTCATAAGATAAATTTTGCGGTTCTTCAAAATCACCATATGTTGTTATATTTATAGGTACTAATAATTTTATAATAACCGTAATATTGCCAAGTTTTTCTATAAGAGATTTTGGAAAGGCCTCTTGAACTATTTGTAAAACATATGTTCCATATAATTCCGTTATGTTACTTACTTGACTCCTAAAATAATCATCATGACCAAGACGACGCTGTTGAATTTCACAACGAAAAGTTTCAGGATAATGCCTGTAAAATGAATCTGGAGATTCTCTTTCATTTTCATCCAAACTACGCAAATGTTGCTTCATCAAAGTTTTAGACAATGATATCCTACTTTGAAAACTAGAAAGTGCCACGTGTATTTTTAATGTGTAGTCATTCTTTAACTTAACATTAATGTCATTAAAAGCTTGAGTAGTATATTGAAATAAATGTTTATAAGCTGTCTGCCAGAAATGTAAATTTGAAATTACATTTACCATGTTTTCATAGGCAAAAAAATATTCTGAATTAAAAATATAATACATTAGAGCAGGGAGAGCAAAAGCTTTTAACATTTGAAAATTCTTCTCATCAGTTAAAATTAACTTTTCAATTACTTGACCGGTTATTAAGTATTGGTCAAATAAATTATCCTCAGTTGGATTTTCAACATTATTTTCGAATTTAATATAATTGTTGGTATTTATTCTACCACCTCGAAGAAACATTGAACCAGCTTGTGCATAAATATAATCAATAGACAATAAACTAAGATTGGCTTTTGGTATAGGAAATAGAGGTAAGATTATGTCGTTATATATTCTACCTACTGCTAGAAAACTAAGATTTGAACTATCGCCATATTCATTTTCAAAGGACGCATTTTCAAGATCTAATATTATCCTATTCAATACTTCTTCTATTTGTGTGTTTTCAGCTTTACGAAAAATATTAGCTAAAAAGCCATAGATATTTCCATATTTGTCAAATACTAGAGAACTAATAATGTGGTCAAACATAACATTAGCAAAAGTAACATCAACGTATTCGTCGTCTTTCGCTCCATATAGATCGCTTCCTTTTAATAATTCTCTAATTAATTGTACTTTCTTGAATTCATTCTTCTCATAGTCGTGTATATATTTATAAAGTGCATTAACAATTGGGATTTGTTTATTTTGATCGATTTCTGACAGGTAATTTTCAATAAATAAAAAATCACTCAGTATGTTTAAATAACTAAAGATTGGTATAAGTTGTACCGTTTCTAGTGGATTTTTAAATGTATCCATTCTTGATATTTGAGTTTTAATAGTTTATCATTAATATTTACCAGTCTGATTAATATGATGCTATTTCAGTTATTTTTTCTTGTCGTCAGTGTGAATGTTTTCTCTTTCAATAAAAAGGGCACTATTTATAAAAATGAAAATATTATCTGAAAAATAATAATGTTTTTTATTGAATAATGAATATTATTACATATTTAAATTAGTAAAAAATGAAAGCAATTACTTAAACTTAAATTAAAAATCATATGCTTTGAATAATTTGTTTAATAAATCAATCAATAATTTCCACGCCAATAGTAAAAATATTTTTTATTTAACAGTAGAATTCTTAATGTTTAGATTTATATAATACACTCTAAAGAAAAAAAATCTTTACTTTAAATTTAATTTATGATTATCAAGTAGTTAAGTAAAATGGAAACAATGCATGAGGAAGAAATTTTGAAACATATTGTTTTACCTGATATTGTTCATGAAACTCTGAAGCTTTTAATAATAATGTGATAGTGGTAACAATTATTTTTTATTTGGGGTTAATATATATATATATATATACAATATATATAAAAAAAATATGTAAAATATATATAAAATTTTTGTTTATCTTTAAATAAACTGTATAACTATGTCCACAGTTTTATTGATACAACTGATGAAGTAAAAATAATTTTTTAGTCAAAACTTATATATTATAATCGTAATGTTAAAATTAACATAAATTAGTGTTATGTAAAATAGTTTTTTTATTTTTCGAAATAAGCATAGGTACATATTGTCTGCTAAAAGGTACATATAATGACAATATTATCAATATTTTATCATAAGTCACTCTATAAACATTTTATTTATTCTATATCTATATTAACAAAACTTTTTAATTATAAATATTCTGAATTTATATACGGAAAGAAATATTATATTAATTGTATTTAGATATTATGATTACTTGATATGATTAATTTTTAATTAGAGGTTATGCAAGATAATGAAAATAAATATAAATTAGATTATTAAATCTACACATTGTTATTCATGATAAAAAATTGGCTAATACACTAATTTAATATAAAAAGAATAATTGTGAATTTTAATTTATAAAATTCAGTGTATTTGAAAATTTAAATTAACTGTTAATATTTTTTATATGTTAAGATTAGGAGAATAGTGTCAGGGTTGGACACAGTTTTAGTTTTTTGTTTATAAATATTTTGTTTAGATAAATTCAGTCAATTGTGGTATATGGGTAGAAAGACCTACAAAAGAGGAACACTTTTGCTGTGGGCCGTAAATTGATTGGTCAAAAATTAAAAAAGTTATAAACATTTTAAAAAAAAAATCTAGTCAGGGTTGGACGTTTCAGTCAGGGTTGGACACTTTTTGAAAATCGAAACGCATTATTGATAAAAACTTAAACTAACATTTGTAATGTTTTTTATTCTTATTTTTTTATGTTTATCTTTACTTATTGTTTACAAATTGTAAAGCTTCATGGGTTTAAAAAAGGAATGAACTCAAATTACAAAAAATAACGCTTTATTGTTCCAAATAACTCAATGAAATGATGAACAAAATTTATACAATTTAAGTATTATTTTTCTAATATCTTTGGCACAATTTTGCACTGAAATATCAATAAAATAAAATTTATTTGTATATTTATTTATAAATTGTGTCAAATTCATAATTAATATGGGTGTCCAACCCTAACTAGAAGCATCATTTTCGAATTGTGCTAACCATAACCAGACATGTGTCGCGATTCGATTTTTCACTTTTTTTCTTCTTAAATTATGTACCCCACAATACATTCAACAAGCTTATCTAGCCGAATTCTTGCTTTTTTTACACATTTTTTAGGTTTATTCACAAGTCAAACAAAACTTTTTTTGTCTCTTCGATTGCACCGAAGTCACAGCAGACGTTACTTTTGATTCTCCAAAAATGTAATGCCACAAAAAGTTAGGTTACACTACTAGAAGATTCGTCACGTACGCACACAGGTGGCGCTAGTGTTCTTATTTAAAAAAAAGCCAAGTGTCCAACCCTGACACTATTCCCCTACTTACTTAATATAGATTTCAATACAATATTATGTATTCAAATTTGCGATACAATTATGTTAAACAAAAATTGACATACGATTTTATTATTTAGATAATTAACTACTTTCATATTGAACTGAGCTCTGAGTTACGATTATATAGAATGAATATAAAATGAATACTTGAATGTTGAAATATGAAGAACTTCTTAGAAGTTTTAAGACAAATAATTTATTATAATTACATTAATGTAAATAATTAAGTATTATAAAATTAATTTTTTTGTATTTAAAGAAATTAAAAATATTGTTATGTTAAAGTTATTATTTATAAAATTTTAGATTAAAAATTTACATTATTTTTACTATTATTACTATTATTAAGTTATTATTTATTTTTACATTATTAAACATTTTAAATTAATTTCTTTCTAAATAATAAATTTGGAAAAGATACGAATATCAAATGAATAACAGAGGCACCGTCATTTGGTGTTTATAATGTTGCGTATTGTTTTAATGCAATTTTTTGTGTAATAAAGACATTTTTTCTTGTGTTGACAATTTGAATGTTAGCATCCTTTGAAAAATGAAACAAAACTTTTCAACCAGCAGTTTGATGTCAAAAAAAGAAAATTCAAAAAAAAAATGCTCAGACCATTATAAAATTTTATTTTATGATAAATATAATACTTTTTAATGGTTTTACACCCAAGAGAAAAAAATATTTAAAAAAGCACATCACTAATACTGTAACAGTTTGTGACAACTGAAGTTTAAGAAACAATAATTTTTTAAGATTTAGAATTTCAATATATGGGTGATTCTCCGCGTAGCGCACGATTTGGTGTCTGAAACTTTAAAAATATTTTTTTATCGAAATCATAAATGTCAATACATATTTTTGAAGATAAAGTGTCAAGAAATAAATATCCATGGTGGGCCGGAAAATTTTTTTATAATTTTTTTAAACAAATTGAAAAAAAATTCTTTGCTTTTTCAATTCTATAAAATAGTTGAAATTTGATTTATAATGTTTATGGGAATTTTTGGAATAATTCACAAAAATATATATATAGCGCGAACGACAATTAAAATTTTTTATTTCGGTAATTTACGGAAATTTTCGAGGTAATTTATGGAAATTCATGCGGTAATTTATGGAAATTTATATGGTAATTTATAGAAATTTATTTGGTAAGTTATAGTAAACTTACCGGAGCTATGATAGTTTATAATATAAATTTTTAATTTCGTTTGTTTCATTGTGTATTAAACTTGGACTAGTGACGGTAGAAATTTTGTGGCGGGTGGAGACGCTGGGGTTAGTCGAACCGGTGGAACTGATGTTAATAGTTTTCATTTTTTTATTTTTTGAGAAAATTGTCATTTATTTTTAATCGGTTTCATATGTTTCACATATATATAGACTAAAATAATATAACTGCACAAATTTGAATCTTGAAATGTGTAAAAAAAGGATAAATCAATTAGAAAATTGATTACTTTCTTCATACATCAACTTAAGGAATATAACTTTTGATGTTACTAAAGTAGAACTATATTAACATTTGACTTTTATTTAAATAATTCAATGTTTAATAATAAAACGCAAAATAACACACAAAAGTGCATTCAAGTATAAATAGCAATAAAAAAAGAAAATAATTATTTTTTTGATCAAACGTTTTTTTTATTCAATTCCACTATAATATACAATACTAAAATAGCAACAGAAATTGTATTTATTAGTGCACATTGCTAAAAATATTAACTTTTTTGTTTAAACATCCTGTGGGGACAGGTCAAATTTTGACGTTTTCAGCCTTAAAAACCAATTTTCACGAAAAATTATAATGTTAAATACAAAAATAACTACTGGTTTTTGATTGTAATGACAGAAATTACCTATTTACATTGGAATCGAAATATTATGTGAACATTATTTGTGATTTTTCTTTCACAACATGAAAAAAAGCAAGTTGTGCGCTACGCGGAGAATCACCCATATACAATATTTAAAAACTAATATGTGCGATTTTGTTCATGATATTTCTATACCACATGTACTTCTCATTAATAGAGTGTTGAAACGTTAGCTTTAATTTTAAAACCTTGCCTAATTCTTTAATATTCACTATTTTATGGTCTTCAACATAGAACTCACTTCCAGGCAGAAGAATTACATTTTTCTCTTTTACATTATAGAATTGTTCAATTTTTGCCCTTACATATAATCCATTAAAATCCATTTCATACAAAATATTCATGCATTCAGGTGCTGAATAACCAGCAAATCTAATAGCGGATGTTCGATTTGGATAAGCTTGTGTAAATTTTCGTAAAATAATGTTATATTGAGAAGATAACATTGTGGCAATGGAAATTGGTTTAGCTTCTAATCTAAATAATTTTAAATCAAACTCCCGGTCCGGATCATCTGACTGTCTTATAGCCAACTTATATAATGCAATTTTCATTAGCTTTGCTTCTTGGGTATCCCTTGTTATTCTTGTGTATCCTGTTGTCACATAATTCCTAATCGCATAGTAATCATGAAATGTTACTGAATACCTTGCTTTCTGTTCGTTGTAACTTTTAATTATATTTTCTATAGATGCTTCTTCCTCAATTTGACGTCTTTCTTCCTTCGAATAAAGAGCATCGATTCTAAATTTACCTTCAAAATTTGATATATTATGTTCTTCAAAACGTGAGTCGTATCTTAATTTTTTTAAAAGATCAGAATTCTCAATTTTATATAATTTACTCCAATCAGGTGATTCAAAGGAATTGTTATTTAGCCAATCATTGACAAATCGAATTAGAGTTATTTTATCTGGAAATGCGAATTTTCCAAGTACATTGCGTATGCATTCATCAGGAACACTTGTCTTGTTCTTAATACATTTTATGACTTCTTCTTCGTATCTAGCTTTTTCACTATAACGTTGTTGTCTTCGGCAAAGATTATTAAGTTTCGACTTTTCAAAATAACTAATATCATTATTACATTTTTCATCATAATCATCAGCTTGAATTGGTATTCCAGAAAATAAAACTTTTGTAGGTCTACGCCAAAGTTGATTATTAATTTCATACATAGAATGATCAGGTTCAGGTTTAAAACTTACATTATTTAATGCAATATATTTATTTATTGCGTTTTCTGTGTCTCCTTGTGTAAATAATCTTTCATCTTTTAATTCGTAACCAGTTCTTAACTGTGCAATTTTTGATACATCGTCAGATAGAAAAATAAACTTATAACCATAACCACTTTGGTTATTTAAAGTATTTATGAAAATTAATCGAGAATTCTTTTCACCAATAATACCAACGCTTTTGTATAAGTTGGATTTTAAAGTTGATATTTTAGAAAGACTATTAATGACTGACGTAAAACTGAAATTCATCTTTTTTCTTAAAGAATTAATTATTTTTTCAAATACCTTTATATTGTCTTTACTTATAAATGTCA